CACGACGGTGTGGACGGGTGCAGCGTAGTGAGCCACGGGTGCAGCCGCGTAATGAGCTACGGGTCCAGCAGCATAGTGAGCCACGGGTGCAGCCGCGTAATGAGCTACGGGTCCAGCAGCATAGTGAGCGACGGGAGCAACGGCTACAGTGGCGTGGGACTGATCGTGACGTTGGATGGACTGAGAAGATACTGCTGCAGCAGATGAGTAGTGTGCGGGAGCGGCGTAGTGTGCAACGGGCGCAGCGGCATAGTGGGCAACGGGAGCTGCGGCATAGTGAGCAACGGGAGCGGCGTGATAGGCGACAGGAGCAGTATGGTAGGCAACAGGGGTAGCGTGAACAGCTACTGGAGTAGCATGAGTCTGGTCATGTCGCACAATGCTTTGAGAGGAAACTGCGGCAGCAGAGGAGTAGTGAGGCTCCGGCAGCAGACCAGCTGAAGCCACCGCCAAAACAGCGCTCAAACCAAAGATCTGTAAATAAAAACATAATATGTAATAAGCTTCTTACTTATTAAAAGTAATAACGTTTAATATGTGCGTAACTTTATGAATTAATTTATTATATCATTTATTTCATTCTTAACACTTACTTTGGAGAACATGTTATATAAATTATTCAAGAATAAATGATATATAACCTACATTAAAAGCTGCTTATATAGTACTTTTAATTTGCACGTTACAAGGTCAAGAAAGTAAAACAGGTTATCAATTTTGTAGTGTATGTGCCGAAATTTCTTACATTAGAAAAGATTATCTTTGATCTAATTTTTACGATAAGCGGTAACTAACAATTATATAATTTTTAATTATACGACATAAAATATACGTTGTACATATATGTAAAACCTTTTTTTAAACTATTATTTATTTATTATTATAGTTACAAGGACAGATAATTTAGTGAGCGAAGTAACAATACTGGTCTTATAATTGTGATAAAATTTTGGCCGAGTTTAACAAGGTCACAATGAAACCCATATTTTTTAAAGAATTTACAGATAATAATAATAATAATAATAATAAAACTCTTTATTGTACACCAAAGAGAAAAATACGTACAGACAGTTATTAAAAATTAACAAAGATGCACAGCAGGCGGCCTTATCGCTTAAAGCGATCTCTTCCAGGCAACCAACTACCAGGTAAAGGAGAGTGTGAGAGAAATGGTAGGCGGTGTACTTGCTATACGATATAATTATACATACAATATAAATAGATAAACATAATACACATACACATACAAACGTACATACATACATATATACATACATACAAATATATAAACGTACAATACACATACATACTAATTTATATACATACGTACCTACAAATATATATAGTTATAGATACAATTAAATATAAAAAAAAAAGCACTAAAGGGACAGGTAATATTCTTTTAATAACAGCTTAAATTTATCAAGGCTTTTGGCACTTTTTAACTTTTAAAGGAAGTGTGGTCCAGAGCCGGGCAGCTTTTACAGTAAAGAGTTAGAGTAGAAACATGAAGAATGTGGAGGAATTTTGAGAACTAGTTTGTGCTCCGAGCGAAGAGAGAAACGGCTATGACAGTTACTTAAAAATTCAAAACGCTCTTTTAAATAAAAAGGAGTTGAAGGGTGAAATAGCACACAGTAAAGAAGATGGAGAATGTGAGTATTCCTGCGGAAACGGATAGGAAGCCACTTGAGTTTTTTACGAAATTCTGAAACGTGGTCATATTTCCGAAGGCGAAAATAAACCGTATACAAAGATTTTGAAGTCGCTCAAGTTTATTTAAATATTCTTCTTTGATATCAAGATAACAAAACGTCAGCATAATCAAGAATCGGTAGTAGAAGAGAATTTGCTAGCGCAATTTTGGTAGGTATGGGCAGAAAATTTTTTAATCTACGAAGAGAAGCAATCGCTCCAAACATCTTCCTGCTCATCTCACTTATCTGCGCGTCCCACGATAAACACTGGTCAATTAAAATACCCAGGTTTTTCACTTTAGATCAGTAAACATAATTTGGACACCATTAAGAAGTATGGGTGGTATGTTGCATATTTTTAACTTTGCATAATAGTCTCTGGCTGCCTAAAATAATTGCTTGAGATTTTTATCTGGATTTAGATTGAGTCCATATGAATTACCCCATGATGATATGAGTGACAAAGCTTTATTTATATTATTAATGGTAATAGGCAATTTTCTCCACAGTAGTCATGGCATAAATTTGCAAATTGTCAGCATACAGGTGGTAGGGAGAAGAAATTTGTTGAGAGATAGAATTAATAAAAATTGAAAAAAGGAGAGGAGACAAGGACACCACCTTGTGGAACACCAGCATTAATTATAGACCATTCAGAGCACGAATCTTCAATTCGTATACGCTGCCGGCGATCACACAAGTAAGAACGAAACCAGTCAACCACCTCAGGAGATATGTTAAGAGAAGCTAGAATGGCAAGTAAAATGTCGAAATCTACTGTATTAAAAGCGTTTGTAAAATCTAATAGTGTCAATACCGTAACCTTTTTATGTTCCATGCCTTTCTCTAACGTCATCTGTTATTTTAGTTAGCGCAGTAACCGTGCTATGACTAGGACGAAAACCAGATTGAAAAGAATTTAATAGACTATTTTGATGTAGAAAAATACTTAGTTGACGATGCACGAGGCGTTCGAGGACCTTGGATAGGAAAGGAAGAATTGAAATTGGTCGGTAGTCAGAAAAGGAATAAGGGATTAGGTTTTTTGGGAGTGGAATAATTTGGCCATCTTTCCAGGACGAAGGAAACTTGTGAGATTTAAGGAGGCATTAAGGATAGATGTTATTATAGGAACAATAAAGTTAATAATAGGAAGAATCATATTGCGACTTATACAATCCGCCCCAACGGCGTTAGATTTGATTGCCATAATATTTCTCTTAACATCACTTTCGGAGATTTGACTAAAAACTGAAACAGGGAAAGTCAGGAGTAGGTAGATTTGAAAGGAGATTAAGTGTATTCGGATTTATTTGTACTATTTATAATACTAGAAGAAGAGAAATATTGATTTAGCAAATTTAAATCTAAGTTTTTAGGATTAATATTTACTCTAGATTTACCTACTCCTAGAGACTTAAGAAAAATGCCGAGACTTTTTTCTGAGTCATCTTCTTCGACAACCGATTTATAGATATCGGCGTCGTTGACTATCCCTACACACCCATGTTGCAACGATTCCGAGCCTTGACATATTTTGCCCTATTTTCGTCACTAGGATTTTGAAACATATTTTACTTTTGCAAACATTCTTTTTGATCTGTAACCTTTGATTTCTGGTGTAAGCCAGGGAGCTGGAAGATGCTTGACTCGTACAGGCCGAACTGGAGCATGAATATCATACAGCTGGATCAAAAGAGAATTGAATATAGAAATTTTTTTTCATCAATTGTAGTTGCTGCGGTAAACTACTGACCAATCCACACTTTCAGCGTCGCTCTGCGTGCAAGCGTTGTAGGTCAATACCACCAAAATTTCGCTGAAGAAGGATTCTTGATTTTGCTTTCGGGGTTTTCAATTTAAAAGACAAATAGATTAGATCATGGTATGAGAAAGCCGGAGCCGAACACTGACCATGTTTCGCAACAAGGTCAGTGGAAGATACTAAAATCAGGTCAAGAAGAGATGGTAGACAATTTGGAAAATTATGAGTGGGCCTTAAGGGGAGGGAATGTTTAAATTAACGCATTTACAAGGGGAACTAAGACGCGATGTGCGTTGATCATTCTTTAGGAGGACAGGTGTTAAAATCACCCATCACCAAAGTATGATCGTACAAAGGCTTATATGTTTCTAACAGGGTTTCAAATGATGAGAAATAATCGATAGTGAGATTAGGATTGTAATAAACACCCAGGAGTATCTTAGTGTGAGATAATAAAATCTCAATAAAAAGATGTTCGGGTCCTACGTCTCCTTGATTCTTAGACATACTAATAATCCGAGAAAGGAATGTTGGGGGGAACGTAGATAGATTGCAACACTCCACCTCCAGTGCGTTCAGCACGATCATTTCTAATTAAGTGAAACCCTGGTAGTGCGTAGGATGTAGATGGGAGACATGGCTTCAGCCCATGACTCGGACACCAAAATGGCATGTATATTTTTGGAAGTAAAAAAGAAGACAACATATCGGGATAGTGCGCAGGAATACTTTGGGCGTTTATATGAACTAAGTTAAAGTTTTTCAGAACATCTGAGAAGACGAGATCAAGAGTTTCATCAAGTGGTTGGATACTATGAAAAAAAACTGTCGTTGCTGCTTTCATCCTCCGATGTAGAACAAGACAAAAACGAATCGTCTAAACTACTGCAAATCGACGTAATTTTGTACGTTGTATAATATAATAAAAATAAATAAATATGTAAATAATAATAAGTAAAAGAATATATAATAATAGAATATACTTGAATATTTATATTATAATAATAATAATATAAACAATAAATAAATTAAATTTATTAAATAAATAGTTATAATAATATGATATAAAAAAAATACTAAGCAAGTTTATCTCACAAACTACAACTCACCCGCCAGTTGCAAGAAAGAAAGAAATTTCACATTAAAGTAATTAAAATTACAAACAAAAAAAAAGAGATATAAAAGAAAAAAAAAAAAAATAGAATCATACAAAAATATACATACGAAAATGTAAGAATGTAAAAAAACACACAATAATTGGTAATTACAAACCAATAATACAACAAAAATATGTGTGTATCTGTACCCTAAAGTTTACCAAAGACAAGCAAAATTAGTTATCTGTGGACTGTGAATACAAACAAACATAATCTGTTATGGTAATAAGTCTGTGAACTTTCTATAATAATAACAATAAACAAAGTTATCGCTATAGTAACTCAATCTATTGAAATTAGTAAAATTAATTGATTTTAAATATAATATAAAACTAAATTTACTTCTTAGCTATACGTTTTGCGCGAGAAGGTATAACATTATCTGTTTTTTTCGACACTACTATCTTTTGCACGGATGATTTCACTGGACTGTTTGTATGGCACTGAGATCCAACTTGCACTCCACCCGGTGTCGAGATCCATCAGGTGCGATGATGTGGATGCACCCACCTCGTGTCCAACAATTGCTGACCCGAACCGTTGCCTCGCCTCTAAAAAATGCTTCGTGCCTACATTTCGTGAGAAACTCCGATCTGCGTAACACCAGTGCCCTTTAGTTTGGTTTTAGCAAACCATACTTTGTTACGCACGGAAACATCACTAAATTTTACTACTATAGGCCTGGGCTTATCAGAAGAACGGCCTAAGCGAAACGAGTGCTTAATATTTTCAGTAGAAAAGTTCTGCAAGTCCAGGTGTTGCGGCAATTAAGCTAGTGATTCGGGCCGGGATGTCTTCTGTTTTTTTTTTTTAACATTTTTTTTGCTCAGGAACACCGTGAAATAATAACATTTTCCGCCTGTTCCTCATCTCTTGCCTGTCGACCTCTAATGCGAGATATTCAACCTGCCGTTGCAGTGTGTTCAATGCAGATAAAATAAAACTGCGGAAATGGCTAAATTCACCTGGTAGAACACTACTTGAAGCTGGTGTTGATGCTTTGCTTAAGTCCTGTTGGAACTCATGCATTCTTGCATTAAACATGTCAGTTAGTGCAGATAACGACTCCTTGATGGATTCCATTTTCGTATTTATCGTAAGTGATGTGTATAAGAGAGTAAAAATAGGAGTATTCTTGCAGGTGGGTAAAACTGTTACTCACATAAACATAAGAACTATTTAATAAATGCTTATTATAATATTTTATAATAACATAAATCAGCTGATCACAATTTTACGCCCGACGTGTTTCACTCCTACCCACGAAAAAAGATAATACATCTTAGAAGAAAAAATAAACCGTTAATACCCGAAAAGACTTCAAAAGCTCTATCTTTATTTCTCCTTTATAGCTAAACAAAAAGGGATCGACGTGAAAGTTAAATTTTTAAAGTCTATCCAATATCATTAAAGATTTGATAGAATAGAAGTATGATTACGCTGGCCGATATTTATGTATGTATGTACATCAGAGGAAATCTACCAGTACCAGCAGTACCAGTAGTAGTATGTACTTATGTACAAATAGACAAAAAATGTAATATTTTAACATAAATAAAATTAAGGCTTTGTGAGTTCATATATTATTGGAGTGTTCTTTCATTTTAGTTAGCCTTGCGTCGGCTAGCACTGATTCCAAAAATATCTGGTTAGATAGGTATCTATTGTGAATGTAAAGGTCAGTTTAAATTGTTTAACATTTTTAGTATGGAGAAAGTATATCTTTAGTGTGGTGAAATAATAAAGCCAGGTTAATATTTTCACCATATTAATTTTATTTGTTTAATGCCTGTTATCTACACATATAATAAAATTCTGAGTTGAATCTGTACATTAAATATTTTTTTGAAAAATCTTATTAAAATAGTCATTATTATCGATACAGAGGCCGAATGTATAGTTTTTAGAATTTTTGTCCGTCTGTCTGTCTGTCCGTCCGTCCGTCCGTCCATCTGTCTGTCTGTCTGGGAACGTATCACGAATAAACCACGAGACGGATTTTAATAAAATTTGATATGATGATAGCTGGTTCTCCGGGTCAATATTTAGGATACTTTTTAATCTCATCTTTGAGAAATCTATACTAACCGCCAAAACGTACCTAGGAACGAACCCGAGCGGAGCGAGGTTAAGATGCTGTTTGGACTAAATCTTCAAACTGCAACTTCAGACTAATTAATCTACACTAATATTATATGTTTAAACAGTTAAAAGGTTTATATGTTTGTAAGTTTACTACTCGTACATTGTAAAGTCCTTACATAATTGGACTTTTTGATCGGACAATTCTCATATATGAATTAATTTTTATTTTATAGATAAACTAAAAAAAAACACATTTTAGTCAATTTCGCACTTCAAACCAGATTCTAAAATTCAAATCTATAATTTGGACTTGTAAAACCAAATGGAATAAGCTCAATCTCGATACTACTCGTTTACTAGTAGCTAATATAATTAATGCATATAAAAGAGTTACACTAATCACCTCGTGGTTCCTTCATCAGACCTCTATAATCTATACATATACCTAATAAAAAAAATTCTAACTGAGTCGAATCTAATCTGCCTTAAATATTTTTTTGGAAAATGTTATTAAAATAGTCATTATTACCAATACAGAGGCCGAATCTATAGTTTTTACAATTTTCGTATATCTGTCGGTCTGTCTGGAAACGCATCACGAGAAAACCACTGGACAGATTTTGATGAAATTTGGCAGGATAGCTGTCAACATATAGGATACTATTACTGCGGGAAAATACCTCACCTCTGAAAAATCTATACTAATTACTAACCGTTAAAACATACCTAGGGACGAACCCGAGCGGAGCAAGTACGACTCGCTAGTATTTAAATAATGTATAACAGACACTTGCAAAGTTTAAAGTCGATGTGATAATAAAGAGGCATCGATCACTAATAAAGAACTTATTAGTGATCGATGTAAAGAGAACTTTAAATTGACTTAGGTACATAGATACATAGTGAGCTCTATGTTAGACAATATACAATTTCTTAATACAATACAATTGAATCTAGTTACTAACAATTATAAACAAATAAAGGTTTAAATTATTTGAATAAAATTGTGAAAAAGATATTCGATTACATAAACATACAATAACGATAAAATAACCACCCAGCCTTCTTTAGACGGTTGGTACCTATAATACGAGTATAGTATACATACAAATGTAAACATATATAGTATAAAATATAGTATACATATATGTATATGGGCGCGCGATTATGCTACCATCTAGTTCAAAATATTTTTAACAAAATATATCAAAATTTTATGATTACAAAACGAAATCTTTTTGTAAAATTAGTTACCTAAATGATTTACAGTTTATAATTAATTTCAGTATATATGAAATCGTGTTTTAGGAAGTTAAATTGCAAGGATTGGATGAACAAACGATCTCTTTAGACAAACACTGACTTCGAGAAAATAAGTTAAAAAAACTTTTTAACAAAAAATAAAAACCGACTTTAAACAAAAGCACTAAAAAGTAACAAATAACTGATTGGTAGTTTGGTAGTTTTCATTTACTATACATACCTAATCAAATATTTTCGAAGTCGGTGTGCTTAGCTTTGTATGGGCTGGCACCGATTTCGAAAATATTTGATTAGGTATGTATTTAATAGGTAGGCTTTAATTACTTAGCCAAAGCACACCGACTTCGAAAATATTTGATTAGGTATGTATAGTAAATCAAAACTACCAATCAGTTATTTGTTACTTTTTAGTGCTTTTGTTTGAAGTCGGTTTTTATTTTTTGTTAAAAAGTTTTTATTTTTGCCTTTTTAGTGTATACAGTAGTAGCAAAGTAAGGATTCTAACGTGTTAGGCTTGTCAAATCAAACAAAATAAGCCCAAACTCAAAGTATCTACTATTAGCCGTTGAAGAGATCCACCTATACACCTTCTGGCCTTGCCATCAGATCAGGTCAACAACACCGAACCACTGTACTATCAACGGAAATAGAAATACTTGCAAAATTTCAAGTCAATATGACAATTAGAAGTAGGTTAATTTCATCATTGGTTGTTTTTCCACCCTTAGGGGTGGTATTTTTTTTTGAAATTTAAATGGGACTAATCTGGAAGTATACCCTTTCAAACAAAACAAAAATTGTCCAAATCGGTTAATAAATGACGGAGTTCTGAGGTAACAAACATAAAAAAAAAAAAAAAACATACAGTCGAATTGAGAACCTCCTCCTTTTTGAAGTCGGTTGAAAATTACGTATATATTTATTTATTTACAGCTTTTTAAGTAGGTATTTTTAAGTAGGAAAATTAGCAAGAATGGTTGTTAACCAACTTTAAATCATTATATATCCTAAACTGTTATTTAAAATGAAAAAGTGTGTCATTTATCAAAGTCGGCCCACGTGTTTGGTCTAAATAGTGCCACACAAGTACAAACCCACATACATACATAGGCTGATAAACACATTACCCTCCTTTGCGTCGCGCAGTTGGGTAATTAAGCTTTGTATGGGTAGAAAACTGTTTTCTATGTTATAAATAAAAAAAAATAAAAAGTAAAATTATAACAATGATTTGAGGGAGAGTGAATATGGCTTATTTTGAAAGTATAATCCTTTTGAAAGTTATGATGACTCCGCGCAATGCAAACACCGTTTATTTTAGTGGTTTTTATAGTTATGTGCGTTTTTGTGTTACCTAATCAATATCTTTTATTAAACGCGGTCTTAGAGGCTTTATCCTTTATAGGTTATTATCCTATATATATTCTATATATATATATATATATATATATATATATATATATATATATATATATATATATATATATATATATATATCCTTTATAGCGTGTTGCTTTGGAGTTGAGTAGATCCCATCATGAGTGATTTTCTTACCCGGAATCCCTCATAACCACCTCTATCAAGTATGCAAACACATGCAAACAATAAAAGTAAACATAAAATGTCAAAAGGATTTGGTATGTTCATTTTATATTAATAAAAAAAATACTTAATTTATAATATATTTAATACTCATATGTCATTTTAAATTATTATTAACTACTACTTTCAAAACATTCAAATTAATGGTGCGCAAGGATAGCGTGTTTGGCTGGAGCAGAGTTGCTGACCACGGCGTTGAATCCGTTGTGTGCATCAGCGGTGTACTGAACGGTACGGATGGAGCCATCGGCTTCGACAAGCGAGTACTCGCCGTGCACAGCGTCACCGTCGCGGCTCTCGTGCTGGGACTTGTTGTCACCAGAGTGACCGTCGGCTACGGAGTAGGAGAAGTCGTATTTGGGGTGAGCGTATTCCTCTTGGTGGTTAGCCACGACGGTGTGGACGGGTGCAGCGTAGTGAGCCACGGGTGCAGCCGCGTAATGAGCTACGGGTCCAGCAGCATAGTGAGCGACGGGAGCAACGGCTACAGTGGCGTGGGACTGATCGTGACGTTGGATGGACTGAGAAGATACTGCTGCAGCAGATGAGTAGTGTGCGGGAGCGGCGTAGTGAGCAATGGGAGCAGCGGCGTAGTGGGCAACGGGAGCTGTGGCATAGTGGGCAACGGGAGCGACGGCGATGGTAGCATGAGGCTGATCATGACGTTGGATGGATTGAGAAGAAACAGCTGCGGCGGAAGAGTAGGCGACGGGAGCGGTGTGATAGGCAACGGGGGCAGCGTGATAGGCAAAGGGAGCAGTGTGGTAGGCAATAGGAGCGGTGTGAACCGCTACTGGAGCAGCTACACCAGCATGAGTCTGGTCATGTCGCACAATACTTTGAGAGGAAACTGCGGCAGCCGATGAGTAGTGGGGCTCCGGCAGCAGACCAGCTGAAGCCACTGCCAATACAGCGCTCAAACCAAAAATCTATAAATACAAAAAATATTGTGTTTAGTTTCTGAAGAGAAGAGGTTCTTAATAGTAATAAAGTTTAATTTATGCTGGGTTTTGATTTGTACATTAATTAACTATGTCATTTATCTCACTCTTAACACTTACTTTGGAGAACATGTTGTTGTTGTAAATTATTAAAGAATAAGTGATATATAAGCTATATTAAACGCTACTTAT